AGGAGCCGCGGAGCTGCCTCTACTGCGCCCATCCCATTCATCACCCGCGTGGGGCCGGGGCTGCGGGACCCCCGTGGGGGATAGGGGACAGAGAGCGGGGTCACGGTCCCGCAAAAGCGCTCATTCCACAGCGTGGCCTCTCCCTCCTCTTCTTCTCACGCTGTGGCTGCTATGCCCATGAGCCAGAGCTCGGCCCTAGCCGGGAGAGCCAAACCAGCCCGAGGAGGGAGCCTGGAATGGTCTGTCATTAAAGTCTGGGAAGTGATGGGAATCCAAGCAAAAGGAAAGCTTGGGTTTCTGCTGCTTTCCTGCGGTTGGCATGTTGGGAAGGCTGCCGGAGGACACACACGGGATGGGAGCTCTGGGACACGGTGCTGGCCACCACGAGCTCGGGCAGCATCTGACAAGGAGCCCCCCAGCCCCAGCCTGGCCCCTGGTGATGCCATCCCTGCAGCTCTCCCTGGCACTAGGGTGTCCCCCCTCCACACATCCACCCCCAGCACCCTCCACTGCACCCCAGAGCTCCCTCCCCACCGGCCCGAGCTTCTGCCAAACCCTTTTGGGATGTCCTGACTGAGAGAGGCTCTTGGGACAGCACATGTATTCCCCTTTGTGCCCTGACTCTGCTTCTAGAGCCAGTATCTGAAGAACTCCCAAGCTGAGCAGGGAGCTGGGGTAAACCTCTGTCCAGAGCAGCAGAACAATGTAAATCTATTCCTTAAAGAGTGATTTCCATGAGGAAGGTCCCGTTGGGAAGAATGGAGGGATTTGCTGAGCAGAGCCTGCCAAACCTCTGCTCACAGCATCACCAGGGTTCTGCAGGTTGGGCTCTCCTCAGCACGTGCAGCAATTTGTTCTGGCTGGTCAGGGCGGCCTGTGGCAAGCGCTAATCCCAGCTCCGGGTCGAGCCCTCAGGAGAGGGGAGAGGCCCCCCCAGCAGCCCTGGCTCCTCCCCAGGCGCTGAGCATCCCCAAGCAGCAGCTTTGTGTAATCCCCACACAAAGAGGTGGTCACTGCTAATGGGTTTACCTGCCTAATTCTCCCTGGCCCTTCCTGCCTCTCAGGGTTTTCCCTTCCCACTGGCTCAGTGCTGCAGGAAACTCTGCTTCCCACATTAAGCAGATTGTCTGCAGCAGGACAGGCAAATGCATTTATCCTGCAGAATTCCCCGGCCGTGACACAGCGGCGTTTCCAGGATATGAATCCTCTGTCCCTCACATCCTTCCCTGCCCTGCTTCCTGAGCCATGACACATTTATCAATTTATCACCGAGGCACAGGGCATCTCCAGCCCCTGGCTCTCACAGCACTTCCCTGGGACCATCTGCTGTCACCCCAGCTGCCCAGAGGGGCCTGATGCTCGTGGTGACCCCCAAACCATCTCCCACCCACTGCCAGGGCTCATCCCTGCTCAGCACAGCCCCACATCAGAGGGTCCTGGGGATGGGTACCCTTGGAACAAGCTCAAACACTCCCCACTACCCCAGATTTACTGCTTTCTGCAGAAATTATCCCAACATGGGTTTCCTCTTCCTGCAGGAGGGAAGGTGGGAAGGACATTCACACCCACATGTGCCACAAGAGCCAACCTCTGACCCATGCCTCAATTAAAAATGGTTTCTAGGCTCAGACTAGCAAATGTTGGCCTAATGTGGGGAGGAAGGGCTCTGTAACAGGCAGGACACTGAGCAGGAGACTGGGCAGGAGAATAATTTCCAGGCACACCCATAGAAGTTACAGCTTAGTAACTCAGGCTGCAAGGTTTGTGCTCCTTGGAGAACAAGGCCTCAAGCTCAGGTCCAAGCCCTGCTCTCCAAGGACAGTCCCAGCTTTCCAAAGCAAATCCAAGCACAACTCAAAGCCATCAGAATCCAATTGCTGCTCACTCGAGCAGATCCCCCTTGTCACTGAGCATGGAAATTCAATATGTGGGAAGAACTTGCAACAGAAAAATGAAATTCTGTTTATTTTCTTAGCAGGAGTTTGGCCTAAACCCTTCACTTTTGGAAAGAGAGTCAGTAACTCTGTCACTTCTTTTTTTACCCTCCTTTAATTACTTTCTAACCTAAATGAGAACCAAGAGGAAGGCTTTGGGCACTATCACAGCAGCATTGGCCAGATGTACCCTGGCCAAAAATGCGATTCCAAAATGAGACAGAGCACAATGAATTATAACTAAAACACTGTTTTACCAGTTTTGCTCAGAATCTCAACAAGTTTTTCCCAATACAAAATAAATCTTTTTTTTTTCCTAGCCAAACAAGCTGTGTAAGAAAGAGTTGGGAAGGGCATCCCTGAGGATGTCAGCTGTCACTGCAGGAAAAGACACATGGACACTGTGCAACAGCTTTAGCTCCACCAACACCGTGAGGAAACCCTCAGCCCAGGCTGCAGTGCTGGGGAACAGCTCCTTCCCACTCAGGTGTACCTTTCTGTGTGCACCACAGAGTTTACACTGTGTTAAGCCCATCTAGACACAGAACCATTTCCTCCTCCCCAGCCCTGACACGCTGCTAAGCCCCAGTGATTAACACTGTCTGCACCAAGGAGCACAGAGCTCCCCACGGCTCCCAAACACCCTCTGCTCCCCAGCCTGCTCAGGGCTGGGTCTCTGGAACAGATCTTCCTGCCTCCTAACACTTGGGACACATTCATTCATTCTGTGCCCATGGAATGGGTCTCAGCACACATAGAGCAGCTCCATGGTTTGTCCTGCTCCCCCAGCCAGGAGTTGTTCCATTCTGTTCCTCCAAACCATTCAAACCCACCTCTTCTCCTTCCTCACTGAAATGCAGGCTTAGATCTTATTTTTTTTTAGTGAAATCCATTTTCTGGTGTCCCTCCCTGCCCTCTCAGGTGCTGCCCACATTCCCAGGCCCTGCTGTCCTGCATTGCCTCAGCTCCAGCCCTGCTGCTGCCCACCCATCTCCCAGCTCCCCTGCCTCTGTGAGCCACAAATCACACCCAACAGAAGAGTTAAACCAGCCTGGAGAGGGGCTCCTGCCCCACTTTGCTGCCTGAACACCCTCCAAAAGCAATTCCACAGCACAATAACCGCGGTAAGGAGCGCTGAGTTTCCGCAGGGACAGACAGCAGCAGCACCAGCCACCCCATTCTCTCCAGGATTTTCCCCCAAGGCCATTTCCATTCCTTTTGGGGTTTTCTTGACAGTCTGGGCTGTCCCCTCTGGCAGGCTGTGCTGCCTGGCCCTGTCCCCACACAGTCCTTGTCCCCTTGGGGCACAGGGATCCCAAGGAGGCCAACACAAACTGCCACCGGGACGCCACGCGCAACACTGACAAATCTCCTAATAAGTGTTGAAAAGGAGAAGAAAAGAAGAAATAAAAGGAGCCAGAGGAAGGAATCTGCTCGGGGAACAGCTCCATGTGGGCTTGGCACCAGGGCACTCACCACATCAGCGCCGAGGGGACGATGGGCCCTGGCCAGACGGAGCTGCTGGCCCCGGCCTGCAGGGATTCGGCCACTTCAAACGCTGGGGCTGCAGGAATCTCTGCTGAAAAGGGGCCACACAGCCAGGGATTCCTGAAAAAACAAAATAGCTGGGGGCTTCCCTCACTCCCTGCCCTGGCCAGGCTGGGGAGGGTCCCCAGCAGCAGGAGCTGGGGGCTGTTGGCAGCATCCCTCAGGTCTCTGTCCCACAGTTATCCCACAGCTCCCTGCCTGTGCTTCATTTATCCCTTGTGCCTATTTTCTATACAATTTGTCCTGAAACATGGCAGTCTGAGCTTTCGAGGCTTTCCTGTCCACTGGGGTACACCCACATGTGGGGTGACAGAGATGGAATCAGCCAGTGCTGATTCTGTGCTCTGGCTTCTGCCAGCTCCACAGAGGCTCTGTGGGCTTTGGGGGTTTTGTTTCTTGGCCCTTTTCTTTTACCTCCCCTCATTTTTTCAACAGAACTTGTGCTTTTAACACTTCCTAGCTTAGATATCTTCAAAACTTAGAAATAAGAAAAAACAAAAAGCTCCACTGATAACAACTTTTCCAGGTTTTCATGAAAATAAGAGAATCTCTCAGGATGCTGTGGGTGACTGCTGTGATGTGCCAATGGAACAGCGACCACAGATCCTGTTCTGGGGGTTTAACAGTGCTCCCCCACCTCACCAGGACCTTAATTCTGGGCATTTTGGGACAGAGCTGTTCTGTGATAATGACAGCAGGAGGCTCAGCCCCAGCTGGAGCAGTGCCATGACCATCCCCCAGCCCAAGGAGCAAGAATGAGAATTAAAAGAAAGAAAGAAAAGAAAAAAACCTCTTTGAAATCAGTTTTAAGTAAACAAAAAATTGATCTCACAAGCTTCAGTAACCACAAGCATAAATTTGGGGTTGGCTGGGCTCTGTTTTGCTTGGGTTCTTCTGCATCACATATGAAGCCTATTTTAGGATGATTTGCTTGAGCAGTTCAGCATACCCCGGGGCCAGCATGCACTGCACAGTCACCCAGGAGCCACTGCTGTCCCCATGGCCACAGGGACAGCAGAGCTGGTCTGGAGGGCAAACAGAATCCCCCATCCCTGGGGTTCCTGCTGCCAGGGCAAGCTGTGGCACGAGTTCTCCCTCTCAGCTTCTCCTGCTGCTGGCCACGTCCTCAGGGCCCCCAGGCAGTGGGGACAAGCTCAGAGCTCTGGGGTGGATGGAGCTCGATGCAGAAGCCCAGGTCCAGCACAGAACAGTGCAGGCTGCTGTGAAATCAAAGCAGGAATTGCCAGGGCTCACAATCACTGCTGAGGCTGGAGGCCACACACAGCTGGGGCTTTGCCCACTCTGACCAAACCAGCAAATCAAACTCACACCTATAAAACACCCACAGCTCATCCCCAAGTGCTCTGCATTTAAAGAATGGCTGCTGTTATCTTCCAAAACTCCCTGATTAAAATCCATGTCTAACTGGCATGACGGCAGGTTGCCTGTGTTTATCCACTCACTATGAGTGAGCTGCTCAGTTTTCCAGAATCCCAACACAGAAACTCCCCACTGAGATGAACAGGACGTGCTTTTAGTGGTTTAGCAACTGTGCATCCTGTGTGTCCTTCGTGACAGCCACGAGCCCCACCGCGGCTCCCTCACACCGCTCTGAGCACATCTGCACTTCTGCAGTAATTCAATATAAATATATATTTATATCAGGTCCAGCACTTGGACTCAATGATCCCTGTGGGTCCCTTCCAAGACAGGATATTCCGTGATTCTGTGATATATTTGTCATACATTCAGGAAGGCTGGCTTTTCAAAGCCTTGCAGGGCTTGGAACCAGCAACGATTGTAATCAGGAAAAGAGCAGAGTGAGACATCTCCCAGCTTTTTATGGAATAAAAGTCCCATTTCTATCTTTATAGGGATAGATCTGATATTAAACTCATGCTACATGAATACAGGGGAAAAAAAATCAGGATTCTACAAAGAAAATTCCACGCTATTGTTGTCAGATTTTAACATTTCAAGACAGGTAGGAAAAGTATTTCTCACCTATCACAGGAAATCATCTGGATTTTCTGTGAAAAGAGCCTGACCTGCTGAAGCACACAGAGATCACATGGAGACACCAGGGCCAGGGCAGCACTCACCCCACTCACCAGAGACAGCTCAGGTGTGAGCATCCCCTTGCACAGAACTTGGGTATCTTACCCCACAACAGCAACCCCAACCCCTGTGTGGCTTTTGTGCATGCCTGGGTGGAAAGAATAATCCCAATTATCCATTAGCTGTGATTATTTGGCATAAGTGAGCTTCTGTATTTTGCTGCTGCCATGGTTGGCTGAGGAAGCCTGAGGATGGCCCAGGAGGATTCTTAAAGAGCAGTTTCTTTCAATATATTTAACTTTTTAATATTTTTATGCTTTTGCCAATTTTATTAAAATCTAATAGATCTTAATCTCTCTATCAGCAGCATCTGCACTGCTGTGAGAGTAGCACCTCCATGGACAGATGTGAGGTGACACAAGGGACAAAGCCCCTGTCCCCAGGGCTTGTCCTCCCTGGCCCTGCAATGTCCTTCTCCAGAGCACAGGGGCTGCAGCCACCTTCTGCCAGCGGGAAATGACAATGACAGGGAGAAAAGGCAGATTTTATTGTGTCTGGAGAGCTGCAGCCCCGTGAAGCTGAACTATTTAAATAGACAAGAATCTTTTGTCCAGGAAACTGAGCACTAATAATAACATTTCCTCCCGCAAAGAAGGCTTCTTCCCAGCTGCTTTGCACGGTCTCTGCCTCCTCCTGTTCCCTGGCACTGTCCCAGCCCCTGTCACCCCCCTTTCCCCTCTCAGCCTGCAGAACACCCCACGGTTTTCCAGGCTGCCTTCACTGCACTCCCCAGCTCTCCCTCCTCCACCAAACATCCGGATTTCCTATTTGATTCCCTGCTCTGTTTTCTCCTCCAGGCTGCCTTGGCAAGCACACAGCAGAAAGAGGAAGCCTCTCCTCTGGATCTGGTGCCCAGAGCCAGGGCACGGCCCAGTTCCCCCATCCTTACTGGGAGAGCTGGTCCTGCTCATCCCCACATCCCACTCAGAGAGCACAGGGCACCAGCACAGAGCCACCACCTGCACCTTTTCCAAATGCCCACAGCTCCCCAAAGCTGTGGGGGAATTTTACAAGGATGAAAGAGGACCCAGCCCAACATTCCATCTGCTCATCAGCTTTCCAAACCCTGGCCAGAGCATGGAGGTACTCCAGCTCTCCAACCAGCTACAAATTATTGAATTATTCATTCATTTCCTATGGGCACTCTTCCCAAGCCAGCCCTAAAGAAAATCCACCCCAGGACACCAGTCCTGTGCGTGGGTGTTGGGATCACTGCTGTGGCAGCAGAAAGAGACTTGGGGCAGCTGGGTACCTCACTGAGGGAATTTCCTGGAGCAAAGACCAAGCCCTGATCAGTCCTGCCAGCACAGAACAATGTGCTGGAGCAGCCAGCAGCCATCCTCTGGAGAGCAGAGCTGTGCTTCCCCTTCTCCCCTCTGGAACAGCATCCCTGTCCCCGGGGCTGTGGGTTAAACAGCAGGGCTGGGTCCCCATGGAGCATCCCACGGGACAGGAGCCACCCTGCAGGGTGGCAGGGACAAAACAACTGAAGGAAAGGTGGAGTGGTTACAAACGAGATCCTTGTGAAATCAAGTCTTACCTGGAGGAAATGTGGGGCTGAGGGAGCCGTGTCTGCGCTGGAAATGAGGGGTCAGAGCAGGGGGCTGTGACTGCTCAAACACCTCAGCTCAAATCCTTCAATATCCTGCTGCTGCCAGAGTCTCAGCAGAATCTGCACAAGGTGACAAAAATCTGAAAAACAAAGTGCTGGGTAACAGGAGGAATAGAAAGAAACGAGCGAAAATAAAGGGATTTAATGAAAACATCCCTTGTTTCCATCTTAAAGAAGGGGAAGGGATAGAACAATTCTTATCCATAACTCAACATATTTGTTGGAATTAATTTAAGAGCAGAAAATCCACAGATAGTAAAAATATGGCTCAATCATGACTGAGTGTCCTGACATTGTTGGTGTAAAATCTTTGTTGGTTCTAGTAAAATAAATTGGATTTAATGGTGGTTTGATCTCTTGAGTTCAACAGGACCACAGCCCTACCCTGCACCCTCAAGCCAGCCTCAGAGCAGAGGATGGGTGTGGAGTCAGGAAAGCTGCAAGACATCAACAAAAATATTGAAATTAGGGTCCAGGTTTCCATACACAAAACCCTAAAGAAACTGGATCCCAAGTGCCAGTTTTTAATTAAATACCAGCTTGGAATATTATAAAAATCCAGGAAGTAACATGTAATTATGCATCTACAAAGCTGATGACTCAAATTATTCTATTGATTTGAAATACAGTGTGTCCAAATGCATTTTACATATGTAATAAACTTGTTAGCTTAATAAATATGTGGAGACAACATTGAAATTTGTGTCTGATTTTAGAAACAATGGCTAAATCCCTGACCCATTTGTCTGCATGAGAAAAGTGAAACAAAGGCTTCACTCCTTTCATTTCATTTCATTCTTACAGAAGTAATGATTTAGAAAATGTACATTATCATCCACACTATAATCACCATCCTGAGTCTGTAATTCCACGAGGGAAGCCTGTACTGCACATAAACTGAGCCCACTGGGGGCTGTTGAAGCTTAAGTTCCTTAAGAATTATTTTTAAATTCCTCTCCATCAGGGATGTTATAAGTAATGAGAGCAGCTGCAACTGTGGTTTGTTAGGAACTGTTCTCCCAGCTTGTTCTAGAAAAGCTGCTTGAAAGGTCGTGGTGCTGAGCCTGTGGAGCCTGGGCAGGCTGGTGTAACAGAACTGCATTTTAGCTGGCATCTGGCTGAGCTTATATTTTCATTTGTAAAAATTGAAAAATTCTTGGAAGAACTCCACAGCCTACAAAAAAAAATGTTCTTCTTGAAAACGAGTTAGGAGTTAATGATAATTCCACTTTGGGCAGGAAGGAAGGGTTTAGGCTGGATGTCCCTGGGTGAGTGGGGAGGATGTTAAACCACAGCCCTGCTCAGGTCCCACTCCCAGCCCAGGCTCTGCTCAACAGGACAAAACCTCCCATTTCCAGGAGATTCATTAAACATCTTCCACAGAACCAAATCACTTCTATAAACACTAAGTAATTCTGGGTATGGGAAAACTTTCTGAATGGAGCTCAAATCCAGCTTTTCCTTTGATACATCCTTAGAAGAAACCTCAAATATTAACTCTTGAGAAATGTAGACAAAATCATGTAAAAGCTGAGACATCCTGGATGTACAATGTACTTCATAAGTGGTTTTGTATCCCTTACGCCAGAGATACAGGAGAACAATCACAGACATCAGAGTAAAACCCAGATTCTGATTTATCCCCACAGTTAGCTACAGTCAGGGTACGCTTCTGCTTAGAGTGTCTATTTGTTGAAAATATACATCTGTTTAACAATCTTAATGAGCTTTGGAGTGATCCTGTGTTGGGAAAAGAGCGGGTCATTATTCAGAAGGACTTACTGAACTTCCACACATGAAAAAGGCTGGAGCACCAGAAATAACCAAAGGGGAGCTGTACAAGGACAGGTGAACAACCTCTCCTCTGCACAGAGGGAAAACCTGCCATGCTATTCACTCCTTTCCAATAAATATCCAGATTTAAGGTGGTTAACATGGATTAGCAAAGGTTCAGAATCCCAGAATCCAGCTTTACTCCATCTACTTCTTCACTGACATAAATCATGGAATCACACAGAACTGGGGAATTGTTAAGATTGGAAAAGACCTCTGAGATCAGATTCAACCATCAGTCCATCAGCACCATCATGTTCACCACCAAACCATGGCCTTGAGTGCCAGATCCACATATTTTTTGAACACTTCCAGAGGTGGTGACTCCACCACTGCCCTGGGCAGACTGTCCCAATGCTTGACAAACATTTCCATGAAAAAATTTTCCTAATATCCAACCTAAGCCTTCCCTGGTACAACTTGAGGCCATTTCATCTTATCCTGAGGGACCCCAGGGCAGGCACAGGACTCTTGCAGCTCCACAGCTTTATGCCAGGATTTATGCACCATGCAGAAATCCTCTCCATCAGGTGCAGAGCAGGGCAGCACCTCACCAGCTCCTGCCTGGACCTGGGGCACGTCCAGCTCTGTTGAACCTCAAACCAGGGTACCTGAGGGATCACCACCTTGGGAGAGGGGAGTGAAAATGAGACAGATGTGTCCTGCTAATGCCTTTGCAAAAACCCCTCATGAGGTGGGATGTGCACATCAAAAACCCCGACTGTCCCTTGTCCCCTGCAGAGCTGCACCACGTCCTGCGCTCATAAATGTTTCATTGCACTTCTGGAAAACAGGCGCTGCTTTTGAGCAGTCTATGAAACAATATTGTAAACAGCTCAGCTATTGTCCCCCCTGGCCTGGGCAGAGCCAAGAACAATGTGAATTCAGGGATGAGAACCCTTGGCCTTGGGCATCCCCATCCAGGGATGCTCAGCACTGCCTTCCCACTGCAGCAGGGAGAGGTGATGGGGCTGGATGGAGGGCCATGGCACAAAATCAGCCAGGCAAGAGAGAGGCTCAAAGTGAGCAAGCCCACGGCTGACAGGGATTGCAGGATTTAAGCTGGAGCCAGCAAACACCCTGGGCTGGATGCACCCGCCTGAAAAACAAAAAAAAATCCAATAAAATGGGCAGATGGTCCTGGAGACGAGGGGGGAAGGGGGGCTGGAAACAAGGAAACCAGATATTAAAAAATGTAAATGAGAGGGAAATTATAAAAAGCATAAAGCTCCTGTCCCTGAGGGAACAGCTGTGTATGCTAATCCCTCCTGGGCTGCTCCTTTTGGATCTCCCTTCCTTCCTTCCTCCATCCCTCTCTAATAGCTCCCTTGTTCCTGCTGGACAAAACCGGCCCTTTGTGGCTGCTCTCAGAACAACATTAAAAACAGGAATAGGGAAATTGTAAACAGGAGGCTTTTGGCCTACAGGCCAAGGCACACACCGGCCTCTGAGGTCTACTTCATGCTAAGCAAAGAAACAGATCTTTGTTGCTAAAGGGATTAGGGCTGCGGGATTTGGGAGGCTCGGCAGAGGCATTCAGCTGGCCTGAAGTGGGGGCTTTGTAAAGAGATACCTCCATTATGGCCCCGCCAGCGGAAACGGCCCCGCTCTTTATGCACCGGGGAAATGCGATATTGTTGGGGGCTGAAGGGCTCTCCTGAACGGCCCTGCCTGCTCAATGGCAAATTCTTTCCCTGCTAAATAGATGGGGGGTAATTACCTTTGCTGGGGGGCTGGGGGGCAGGGAAAATGCCCATCTTTAACCATCTTTAACCCTTAGGTGCTTTAGTGAGAGGCACCACAGCCAGAGCCTGCGGTTGCAATGGGTTTCCAGATGAGCATCCACCACTCTTTGTTATGTCTCGAATTCCTCCTCCAGCAAATAAGCATGAGCCATAAAATATCCACCACCTGCATTATTCCAAGGCTCCCTTGGGCCACCTTTGTGCCCAGGGTGCCAATAACCCACAGCACAAACCCCAGCCCAGCCCTTGGGCAGAACCATCCATAGCACCACATCTTCCCAGTGCCCAGGGTTAGTGGGGCTTGTGGTTGGGCTTTTGTCTGGGAATGGCCTTTTTCTCTCTATTTTTTCTTTTCTGTTTTAGAAATAATCAACCAGCTCCTTCCTGCTGAACAATAACCTACATTCAGGTTTGCATTAAGATTATCCTTCAGTTGCACACAGCACACACCACCCCTATGTAAGTATTATGGATTTTTCCATGGTTGGCTTCTAATTAAATTCCCCAGCTGAGCTCAAGAGCCATGGGAAGATAGGCATGCTCACAAACAGCATGGTACTGCCAGCCCCTGTGCTTCCAGTGGGAATCTCTCCTGGGAAGGAGAGCAGGGAGCACTGAGCCTGCACAGCTGAGCCCTCTCTGCCAGCACAAACTGTGCCGTGCTGGTGTTTGTGGGGCCTTCTCTTAGTGGTACCTAAGAATTACTCCTCTTTTTTCCCCAAAACCGAGAGCATTTACAACTGGAAGGTGTCTCTGCTCTGGAAAAGGAATAGAAGTTCACTGCAGAATTTAGAAAGGAGAATAAATACAAAATTATTTGCCTTGGGGGCTGTTGGATGAGATTCTGCTCAGGCTGTACCAGTGCTGCCAGTGACCTGCTGCTGGCTGTCACCTCTGCCACCCACCCTTCTCCAGTGCCACCAGGGCGTCCTATGGGGAGAGGGAAGAGCTAGGTTTGATGGCACTGTTCTAAGCATTCCAATTTTCAATGACACAAACTGGCCATATTGGAATAAAGTTCCTTAAAACCCATTAATTTGAAGTTTACAGGTTGGCCTGATAATAAAAGCCAACTAGCATGCAATCCATCTTTAAGTTTTTTTTCAGGCGCTGCCTAAATTTCAGTCTTCTCCTGTTTGGCTCTAGTTTCAAACTCTCTTCCCAGGAAAATGTTTGTAAAAATAATTTGCTATAATTAGAAAAACGTTTCATTGGAAATTCATTACTGGAAGCCTGTCCTGCCAGTGGCAGCAGGGCAGGCTCCAGGACACCTCTTTTGGTGACATGTTCTGCACTGACAACCCAAGAGACGCCCATGTTTGTGTTACAGGAGCTGGGCTTGAGCTCCAGCTCCCAGAATCAAATTTTGTGTGGCTTGCTACATCTATTAAAGAGATCTGTTGATTCCAGTCCCTGTGTCTGGGTGGGTCCTGACTCCCAACGAGAAAGGGAATAACAAGAGAAGGATAGCTGTTATTTTGAGGGTATTTAGTGAGATACCTGCTCAGGTGTGGCAGTGCCACTGACAGCTGGGGCTGTACTTGTTTCTAGAACTCAGTATTTGGCCTCAAACTCAGACACAGCCTCTGCATCCTGCCCTGGGTAACCTGGGAGCCAGGTTAAGGGAATGTCAGGAGAAGGGGGAATGTCATTGTTCAAACTCAGTGATTTTGGAGCAGGTCACTAAAACCAGCCAATGCCTGACTTTTAGGGGTGCAGTGCTCTGAGTGAGGAGCTCTGCTGTGCCATGCTCTCCCTGGGGTCAGCACAAAGGTTTCCCATGACTGGAAACCAGAACTCCAGCCAGGGATGAGCGTTCCCTTCACATCCCTCTCTCCACTCCTCTGCTGTGATGCAGAGCTCTTGGGATCCAGCATCCCCTCCATGCTGCAGCAGCACAAATCCCTCTGCTCCCCCCATGCCAAGATTCACCCCATCAAGGGAAGCACAGCTTGCTTGTGCTGGTTAGAAGGGGATATGGCATAAAAAGGCTGCTCCCCATTCTAGAGCTTCCCCCCAGCAAGGAAAGCACAGTTTGCTCATGCTGGTTACAAAGGGAAATGGCATAAAAAGGCTGCTCCCCATTCTAGAGCTTCCCCCCAGCAAGGAAAGCACAGTTTGCTCATGCTGGTTACAAAGGGAAATGGCATAAAAAGGCAACCCCTGGTCACATCCCTTCTAGCTGGGACTCTGAGCTGTGAGCATCCCTTCAGCTCTGGGACTTTCCACACACACACAGAGAAAAGGCTGGGGGCTGAGGGATGGCAGCTCTCTGACCAATTACAGAGTAATTAAAAGACCCACCAAGAAAGCTCTGCATATGGGCTTCAATGATTGCACCACAGTCCTGCCAGAAAAACACAAAAGAGGATCTCGGGCAGCTCGGAGGATGCATATGGCTTGTGTAGGTGGAAAGACCTAAGAGACTGTTACTCTGGGTAGGAAGTGGATTTTCCCTCTCCTGTAATCTTGTTAAATTACCGTGGTTTTAAATCAATGATTTATATCTCCCTCTTCAAATCCAGAGGGGAGGAAAAAACCCCAAACCCTCTCTAAACAGCCAGTGTGTGACAAGCAATACATTTTCACTTTCATTTACCCTCACACTGCAAAGTTCACTCAGCAAACCAGAAGTGCTAAAGGAAAATACTGGGAAGGACTGGTTAAAAAGAAAACCTTGGCTGAAGTGAGATGGAAAACAGATTTCCCGGGTTAGGTAAGTATCAGAAAATAATGCATAATGTTGGACATCCGAAAAGGGAAGTAGGAAAATATTTAGGAATGTGCACAGCCATTTGCAGCCTATGAAAAGCACAAAAAACCAGTTTCATTAGGAAAGGACACTGCAAGCAGTGCCAGGAGGTGCCACGCTCCAGGACCAGCCTGGGAAATGACCATATCCTGTGCCCAGCACTGCTTTTCTGGGAGCGCCTGTGTGCAGCTGGCTGAGGATTCCCCAAGACATTTTCATTTCCCTTTGGGTTTCAGGGAGTCTCCATCCCTCCTCTGCCAGTTTGCATCTGTGTGGGTCCTGCTGCTTCCAGGGGGAATCATATCTTAGCAACACCGACTAAATTAAAATTAAATTTAAATAAATAAAATATAATATAAAAATATAAAAATAATATTTAATAATAAAAAATAAATAAAATAAAAATAATAATAATAATAATAATAAATGGAAATAAATGAAACAAAAATATGTTAAAAATAAAATAATTTTTAAAAAATTAAAATAGTACAATAAAATAAAATAAATTAAAAATACAATAAAACAAAATACAATACAATACAATAAAATAAAATAAAATAAAATAAAATAAAATAAAATAAAATAAAATAAAATAAAATAAAATAAAATAAAATAAAAGTGAGACCCAGCACAGACCTGAAACCAAGGCCATGCTGCAGCCCACCTGCAGGGTCTGTCCAATTAACATCTCCTCACCCTTCAGCTTTGTGAAAGCCCACGGTGCTGCCATGGAGCACCAAGCTCACAGAGGAAATCCCCCACGTGCCTGGAGCACCTGAGGGAAATAAAGCCATCTGTTCATTGGGGCAGGCCAGCCTCACTCTAATTAACGTACAGAGCTGCATTAAGGGTCTCTCCTCCATGCAAATCCCCTCTTGTAAACAAACCTCACAGGCCCCAGCCCCAGTCTCCGAGGCAAGTTCCCATCTGATTAGTTACTCCACATGCCTTAAATCCCCCCTCACAGATACCAGAGAATGAAACTTCCTCTTTGCTGAGACATAGGAAACACTTACTGATGTTCACCTTGAGGTGTCCTTTGCAGTGATAATTAGTGAAACTGGGACCTCTCTGGGTGAAAAACAAGCAATTTAATTTGTTTTTTTGGCAGTAGTTGTCCTCCAGACCACCACCCACACAGCACAGCACCAGACCTCCATCACAGCCCAGCACACACTGAGTTTTATCTCCATATTTGCATTACTCCAGACTATTTTGGGTGCCTGTTTAAAGCAGAGCACAGAGCAAGGTGTGTAGCTCAGTATATCAAAACCAGGAGAATGAATTAATGGGAAGGGAGTTCAGCAGCAGCTTTGTGCCATTCTCTGAGCAGCAGTCCTGGAAAGCACCCATAGGAAAAGCACTTGGTGCAGGTGAGCTCACCTGGGCAGGAGAATTCCTGCAGGAACACACAGTGTGCAGTCTGGAAAAGCAGTGGGATGAAGAAGCAGTCTCCCCTATGGAGGAAATGCATTTGTTAACTGATGGTTTAACCGTGGGAGCCCCAAACTGGAGCCACAGGCTGCCCCTGCACAGCTCAAGGAGCCCCAAGGAAACTCCACAGCTCCTCTGAGCTGAGCCTTCCCTCCCTCCACCAACACCACTTCCTTTTCTCAGATAATTAATTTGTCTTCTCAGTATTTCCATTTAGAGACACAAGTCTGAAAGCTCCCCAAATTGGCACCATGTGCATCCCAGTCCTTTCCAGCCTCATCCCTGCCCCACTGTGCTCCCCTCACAGGGATGTGACCCCAGCTCACCTCAGCCCAGCACTACAAAGGGTTTGAAACCAGCCTGATTTCTTTCTCTTGCTTTGTACATCACTTTTTTCTTCTGTTCTGTTTAAAAACAGACAGGAAACTGATAAAATTATGGGAGCTAAATGAACATTAAGCACTGTATACCTCACTGATTTGGGTTTCTGTCCTGCAGAGTCTGTAGATGTTACCTGTGATGTTCACACAAAGGTTTTGCTTCTCTTGCCTTGCTTCAAGTCACGTCCCAGAATCTTCACTCAGGAGGAGAAGTCCCTTTCCCCAGCAGTAATGGAAATTCCCAAACAGGGATAAAATGATGGTCCTGCAGTAGAAGACAGCAAGAGAAGAGCAAGATGCATTTCCTGAAAGCAAAAAAAGATTTTCATAGAAGGTGAGCTCTGCTGTCAGGCCCAGCACTTCCAGGCAGCTCAGACTCCCCCTTGGCCTGAAGGAACAGAATGGCAAGATTTGTTCTTACAAAAAAAAAATGAATGAAAAAGTGAAATTGTGGGTGCCCTGTGCCTGTGTGTGGGGCTGAAGCTGCCCAGAGCATCTGGGCTGCCCTAAACCAGTGCAGGTAAACAGGAAATCTGATGGCCAGGGGAGAGGCAGTGCCGGGAACACTTGTGATTTTGGCATTGAAAGTGTTACAGAAAACTTGCCATAAAGTTCCTCTGAGGCTTTAATTTCCCTCCCCCCAATCTTCCTTTGATTTTGATCCCCTCCTTTCCTCGTGTCCTTTGAACTCTTAAAAAGGCACTTTGAAGAGATGTCATAAAGTGGGGGCTTTATTCAGCATCTCCTCTTTGATGCTCCTGCTCCGTGTGTGAAGTGCAGCCCCGCAGGATGTGGAGCCAGAGGAGCTGAAAGCTGAGACAGAAGGGAAAGGGCACAGAAGCAAAAGTGTGGCTGTGGTGGTTGGGAGCAGCTCTGGGCATGGCACAGCCCCAGGGAGGATCCAAGGGGAGGATGAGGATGGAGGAGAGGGGCAGCAGCTGGGGGTCCTTCATCCCAAAGGCCACCCTGGTGTCACCACCAGGTTACAGCTGTGTGACAATCCTCCTGCCTGGGTGACATCCCCGTGGGAAGAGCCCTGTCTGTGTCACTGGAGCATCTCTGGCACCCAACCCAGGGCTCAGCCCAGCCCAGCAGCTCCAGGAGTCGGTGCTGCCATCACCCCACAGCCATCCCCACCTGTCCAGCCTTAAAAGGTCCTGCTGTCCAGGACAGAAAACAGTAATAAATAACCAAAAATGTAAATATAACCCTATTAAATAGTCAAAAATGTAAATAATCCCATGCACACAAACCATCAAGAGCAGACTTTCAGCTCCCAAACCCATCCCATCCAAACTGCCCAGGCAGGAGGAAGCATGATGTCATGGTTCCATGGTGCCATGGCCCAGGCAGGAGGAAGCATG